ATCAGATCAGAGCCGGTGGCTCCCGTCTGCCATCCCAGCTACTCAGGAGGAGGCTGAGAGCTGAGGATCGTGGTTGGAAGCCAACCTCCGGGCAGGAAAGTCCGTGAGATTCTTCTCTCCAAATGGGCCCCCAGAAACCCAGAAGTGGTAGAATGCTAGCCCGGAGTGAGAAAGCTCAGGGACAGTGCTCCGGGTCCTGAGTTCAAGCCCCACGGCTGACAAAAACAAACAAATCCATCCAATCAGAGCAATCTGCATCCGGAGGTTTGTTGTCAGTTTTAATAGGAGAGATGGAGTCAAATGGTTTAGAGAAACATCGATATAAAAAAAAAAAAGACTTTTCAACTTTTTTTTCCTTTTTTCCTTTTTTTTGGGGGGGAAGGGGGGGTTTGTGCATAGCACATACGTAGTTAAAGAGTAGAAGTGGCATCTCACACACGGTCCACAGAGCCTTGGGATTCTCCATGCTGGCTGCCGCCTACCTCCAGGATGGCTTCCTTTGTAAACAGGGTCTGGGGCGCTTTTCTATATGTGCAGAATGAGCTGTGGGAGGCCGGGATTCCAGTTGGTTCACACACACACACACACACACACACACACACACACACACAGAGCCTCTGGGTGGGCCCTGTTTGTCCTGGCTTCGAGATCTGGTTCTCAAAAGCTGGAGCCCCAGCCCGGCCCCTGCTGTGGGAAGAACTATCTTACACACCTGTCTCCGAACGCCGCCATCTTGGTGGCTTTTCCCAGAAAGGAATGAAAAGGCTGGATTCTTCCCGGGAGATGGGAAAGGAGCAACTACTACAGACCTCCTGTCTTTGTAGGGGGAAACACAGGGAGAGGAGATTATTATTATTATTATTTGTGCGTGCCAATATTGAGGCTCGAACTCAGGGCCCGGACGCTGGTCCCTGAGCTTTTCTTTTTCTTTCTTTTCTTTTTTGTCAGTCATGGGTCTTGAACTCAGGGCCTGGGCGCTGTCCCTCAGCTCTTCAACTCAAGGCGGGCGCTCTACCACCTGAGCCACAGCCCACTTCCTCCCTGAGCTTTTCTACTCAAGGCTGGTGCTCTACCCCTTGAGTCACGCTGCCACGTCCAGCTTTTTTGGTGGTTCCTTGGAAATAAGAGTCTGATGGGATTTCCTGCCCAGGGCTGGCTTTGAACGGCCATCTCCAGAGCTCAGCCTCCTGAGCAGCTGGGATGAAGCAACTGGCAGGAGATGGGGGCTTCACGGACCCTTCCAAGGGCCGAGGTTTGAAAGAACCGAGGGTTCAGGACAGGAAAGGTACCTGGGGCTCACATGGGAAGAAGAGATCCAAGCAGGATGGGGGGGAAGAAGGAGGGGGGGAAAGAATGTCAGCCTTGGGGTTTCTATCTGTATATCCAGAGAGGAGAGGACGTGGCACCTTGAACCAGATGAGAAGAACAAACAAACAAGCGAACAAAACACCCTGCTGGCTTTCTTAATCCACAAACAGCCCAGGCCAAAGACCCAGAGCCAGTGTGAGCCATGGTTTTGGGTGATGGAGGGAACTTGCGTGTTAATTATACAACTCGATAGGGCTCACACCTGGCATCCCAGCCTCGCAGGAGGCTGAGATCTGAGGATCACGGTTCAAAGCCAGCCCGGGCAGGAAAGGCCGTGAGACTCTGATCTCCCATAAACCACCAGAAAATCAGAAGTGGCGCTGTGGCTCAAGTGGTAGAGCGCCAGCCTTGAGCTGAAGAGCTGAGGGACAGCGCCCAGGCCGTGAGTTCGAGCCCCACGACCGACCACAGCCAAAAAAACCTCCTAAACCCAGCCTCTTGCTGGGGATGGCGGGGCGCGAGGCCTCCGTGGGCAAGTGGGGCTCGCTCTGCCCTGGTGCCCGTGGCAGCCCCGCTGGGACTCAGTGGGCCCTACGTGGGAAGGAGCACTGTGTGAGGACAGAAGGGGGTGAAGAGGCCTGGCTGCCCTTCCCCTGCTCTGACCAGCCCCGGCCCCGCCCCGGCCTCGCCCGGCCCCGCCCCTGACCAGCCCTGGCCCCCGCCCAGCCCCGCCCCTGACCAGCCCCGGCCCCGCCCAGCCCCGCCCCGGCCCCGCCCCGGCCCCGCCCCGGCCCCACCGCTGGCTTGCCTCGGGCCAGCCCCGGCCCCGCCCCGGCCCCGCCCCGGCCCCGCCCCTGGCTTGCCTCGGCCCCGCCCCGGCCCCGCCCCTGACCAGCCCTGGCCCCGCCCCGGCCCCGCCCGGCCCCGCCCCTGACCAGCCCCGGCCCCGCCCAGCCCCGCCCCGGCCCCGCCCTGGCCCCACCCCTGGCTTGTCTGAGGCCAGCCCTGGCCCCGCCCCGGCTCCGCCCCGGCCCCGCCCCGGCCCCACCGCTGGCTTGCCTCGGGCCAGCCCCGGCCCCGCCCCAGCCCCGCCCCGGCCCCGCCCCTGGCTTGCCTCGGCCCCGCCCCGGCCCCACCCCAGCCCCACCCTGGTCATGGGTTTGTGCCAATCAATCCTGGCTGGGTTGGTTATTTCTTCTTCTCACTCCTAATGTGGAAAATGGAGATGTGCAGTGAAACTCCTTGTCAGGGTATTATGAGGAGAGACAGACAGACAGACAGAGACACAGAGAGAGACAGACAGACAGAGACACAGAGAGAGAATAAGAGGGAAAGGGAGAATGAAGGAGAGAGGAAGGGAGGGAGAGGGAGAAGAAGAAAAGGGGGAGAGAGAGAGAGAGATGCCGGAAAGACCTGGGTGTTCCAGGCCGGCAGATTCTCGTTAGCACCATCTCATACCAATGCTTTGCTGCCCCAAACTGTGTTCCCACTCCTGGCCTGCCACAGCCAGCCTCCGCCCGCTTCCCTGCCAGGCTGGCATTCTGAGTGCCGCCATCTCTAATACGCCTTGTGAACGAGACGGATACAGGGGACCGGAGTTGGTCAACACAAACCAACAAACAGCAACAACAACAGCTTCAAGCCCCGCGCTGGTGGCTTCCTCCTGGAATCCCGGCTACTCAGGAGGCTGAGATCTGAGGATCGAGGTTCAAAGCCAGCCCGGGCAGGAAAGTCCAGGATACCCTTATGTCCAATAAACTACTCAGAAAAAGCCAGAAGTGGCACCGTGGCTCAAGCGGTAGAGCACCAGCCTGGAGCCAAAGAAGCTCAGGGACAGCGCGCAGGCCCCAATCGGGTTCAAGCCCCAGGACTGACAAAAAACAAAACCAAAAAAACAAAACCAGCTTTAGCTTGGTACACGAGAACCCAGAGACAGCACCCAGGTTCGAGAGTTCAAGCCCCAGGACCGGCACAAAGACAAAACCAACCAAACACCCAGCTTTGTGTCCTGAGCCTCAGGAGTCAAGGTAGACCAGTTGTCTCCTTTGACCCAAGTCTCAGCTCTGGGTCCCAATGTCCATCCGACGTCCACTCCCTCGGGCGACACCCAGGGCTCTGATGTCTGGCCTAGGAGGTGGCCGTGGGTGCGACGTCTCCCTTCGATTGCCAGCTGTGGCTGGGGCCTATCTAGAGTCGCAGGTGTCTGCAAATGGAGAAGAGCACTGGGGGGGGGGGGTGAGTTATTCTGTCCCTGGCCGATTTGCATGGGCCGAAAATACTTGCACCCCCCTCTCTGGTTTCAGATGTAGGAACGCCCCCAAAAGACAACGAAATCTAGGCTGACCGTGTTTTAGAGTCCCCCCTCCCCCTCCCCCTCGCAGGCAGGGGGTGGGGGAGGGGGGAATGGGGGAACCTCTGCTTTAAAGGATTCTCCAGGAACCGCTTTCCGCTGCACCCCACCCCACCCCCCGCCACCCCCAAACCCCGCAGAATCAGCACACAGCCCCTGACTGTAAAGGAAGAAAGAAGGGAAGAGGAGGAGGATCGGGAGAGACGGGAGGAGTGCACTCGGGGCTGGTGCTTGTGTGTGAGATGAGGGATCCGATGAGGGCGGGGAGGGGGGTGGGAATTCCTGGAGATAGCCCGGGAAGCATCCAAGGTCTCCGCTTTGTATCCTAGTTTGCACACGCGCACACACACACACACACACACACACACACACACACACACACACACACACACACCCCAGCCAGAGGTTGCCATTATTAGAATCTTGGTCATCCCGGGTTAAAATAAGATCTGGGTTCGGAGGGGGGGGGTCGCTGGGAAGCGGGGAGTCCTCTGGGCGGAGCAGCAGCTGGTGTTTCCTCCTGCTCGGTGGTTTTGCTTTTCCCAAGTTGGGGACCGGGGTCCCCCCAGCATTCCTGGTCACTCTGTTGCTGGTTTGCCACGAAGTCTCCCTCTCTCTCTCTCTCCCTCTCTCTCTCTCTTCCTTCCCTGTCTAATGCCAGGATGTCTTCTTCTTCCCACCACCCAGGCAGCCTGAGCAGTTAGTGGTGTCTAACTCGGGGGGCGAACATGGGGAAAGTCACCAGAAAGAGGTAGAACGAAGCCCACATCCATTCTGCTGCGTTGGCAAACGACATTCCTTGTTTCTTTGAGGGGGAAGTACCAGGGTTTGAACTCAAGGCCTTGCGCTTAGTTCGTTTGCTCCACGTCACTTGGTATGGCTGGCGCTTGACCGCTTGAACCACTCCTCCGGTCCTGCTTTTTGCTTTTTTTTAAAGCTGCTGATTCTGGAGCTGGAATCTCATGGGCTTTTCCTCCCCTCCTCCCCCTGGAGGAGGGTGGTGATGGTGGTGGTTTTGAACAGTGATCCTCCAGATCTCAGTCTCCTGAGTAGCTAGGAGGAGCCACGGTTTGTGAGCCCCCGGGGGTGGGGGTGAGGTGTGTGTGGGGTCTGCTGAGCGTGTGTCCACACCTACGTGCACACACACACACACACACCTGCCACGAAAACAACGCCTCCCTCCCCCCATCCCCCACCCCGTGATCAGAGGCCCCAAGCCCCGCCTCCCCACGGACCAGGTGAAACCATGTTCAGCCGTGGACTTGTGCCAACTTCCAATGGACAAGAGGCAGCTGCCCAGCTTGGGGGAGGGGGGAGCCTCATCGTCTCCCCCCCCCAGTCCTCATATCCTAGGGAGGAAGTGGGTGACCGTCATGGTGGGGGACACCTTGGTCCCCCGCTTTACCCTCCCGTGTTTGCTCAGTGCGATGTAGCACCCCCGGTGCACGTCCGACTCGTAGGCGTTGTAATTGTTGGGCAGGAGCGTTTCTCGGAACCTGCACTGCTCCTTGAAGCTGGGCTGCAAAGAGACGGACAGAGAGGAGAGGCTCAGCCATGGGGAAGGGGTGGCCCCTGCCCCGCACCCTGGTCCCACCCTGGGTGAGACACATTTCAACCTTGGAGGACAGAATCCTGAAAGGTTAAGAAGAGGGAGAAGCTTCGGAGGCCTTCAGAGGGGTCTTCTACCATGTCCCTCTTTTACAATGGGAAAACCCAGGCTAGGAGCCTAGAACGAGGATCACTGTCCTATGGAGACATAGTAGGAGGATCGATGTCCTATGGGGACATAGAAGGAGGATCGATGTCCTATGGGGACATAGAAGGAGGATCGATGTCCTATGGGGACATAGAAGGAGGATCGATGTTCTATGGGGACATAGAAGGAGGATCACTGTCCTATGGGGACGTAGAAGGAGAATCGATGTCCTATGGGGGTGTAGAAGGAGGATGGATGTCCTATGGGGGTGTAGAAGGAGGATCGATGTCCTATGGGGGTGTAGAAGGAGGATCGATGTCCTATGGGGGTGTAGAAGGAGGATCGATGTCCTATGGTGGTGTAGAAGGAGGATCGATGTCCTGGGGTGGGGGGAGGGTGAAGTGGGGTTGAAGTCAGATCACCTGACTTTCTGATTGGTGAATTTTTTTTTCTTTTTGGTCGGTCATGGGGCTCGAACTCAGGGCCTGGGCGCTGTCCCTCAGCTCTTCAGCTCAAGGCTGGCGCTCTATCCCTTGAGCCACAGCGCCACTTCCGGTTTTCTGCTGGTTCACTGGAGATCAGAGTCTCACGGACTTTCCCGCCAGGGCTGGCTTTGAACCTCGATCCTCAGCTCTCAGCCTCCTGAGTCGCTGGGATGCCAGGCGGGAGCCGCCGGCGCTGTGCTGGTTGAACACTGTTTTTATTTTACGAACTCCTTCCATGGTGAGGTTTTCCCATAGAGGAAGGACCGGGGAGGGCTGGGGAGGGGAGGGGAGGTGGAGGAGAATCCAGACATGGGGTTCTAGTTTGGGATTTTTCAACTTATTCATTGTGGGCGCTGGGGCAAGCATCCCCCCTTTTACCCTTAGCTCCTTTTTACTGGAAAGTTCGAGGCTGTGGGGAGCAGGTGGAGGAGATCAGGAGCCTAATGAGCTCATGGGTCTTTGCCAGTTCACCCGCCCCTCCTCCTCTTCCTCCTCTCCCAGGGCCAGCTATGGTGAGCAGCAGCGTGGTGTGTGTGTGTGTGTGTGTTTGTATGTGTAGAATGTGGTTCTCAACATGGCAAGAGGAGACCAAGGAGCCCAGGAAACAACCGTGACTTCCTCCTCCATGGCCGGCTGGATGGCTGAGTGGGCCGTGGCGGGAGGGGGGGGGCGGTGGGGGGGGGAAGGGGAGGCACCTGTTCAGGGGATGAAGGTTGAACTTCCTGTCCTACACAGGAAGTGTGTGCATGCCTGAGAAATCCACCCTGGGTGCTCACCCCGGACTCCTCCAGGGTGGAAGATCCCTTTTCTCTAGAGAAAGGGGAGCGTGAAGACTGACAGGGTGGTGCATGCCTGTAATCCCGACGACTCTGGAGGCAGAGATCAGATGGGGTCGAGTTTAAAGCCAGCACCCCCCCCCCCCCCACACACACACACCCTACCCCATCTCAACAAGAAAGGCAGGTATGGTTGTGTGTACCTGTGGTCCCAGATACTGAGACATGTAAAGAGGTTAAATAAGAAGATGGCAGTCTGGCCTTAGGCTAAAAACAAACAAAACAAGGAAACAACAGACAGACAGACAAACGTGAGAGCCCATCAAAAAATACAACCTTAACGAATACAGAAAGTAAACGGGCTTGGGGACGTAGCTCCTACCTAGCAAGAGAAAGGACTTGAGGTGAAAAACCCCAGTTCCACAGAGAAAGAGAGAGAGAGAGAGAGGAGGGGGGAGGTAGGAGAGGAGGAAGGAGGAAAGGAGGGAAGGAAAAAGGGAGAGAGGGGGGGAAAGAAGGAGGGAAGGATAGAAAGAGGAAGGAAGAAGGGAGAAAGAAGGAAGGAAGGAGACAGAGAGGGAGGGAGAAAGGAAGGGAGGAGGGAAGGAAGGAGAAATCGGAGCGGCAGCATTTCAATCTCCTGGCAAAAACAAAACCAGCCAGGCACTCATGGCTCCTGCCTGTCATCCCAGCTACCCAGGAGGCTGAGATCTGAGGATCCTGCTTGGAAGCCAGCCCCGGGCAGGCACGTCTAGGAGACTCTGATCTCCAATGAACCACCAAAAAGCTCGACGTGGTGCTGTGGCTCAAACGGTATGGCGCCCAGAGCCCAGGAGCGCAGGGAATGCTGGGAGCCGGGCCGGCACCTCCAGCCGTGGCCCGTGATGAGACTCACAGCTTTGTCCCAGAGCTGAGCACAGCTGCTGAACCCCCCCCCCCCCGCCCTGTCCTTGCTTAATTTTAGTTCATTTATTTTTCCGTCAGCCGTGGGACTTGAACTCTGGGCCTGGGCGCTGTCCCTCAGCTCTTCAGCTCAAGGCTAGCGCTCTAGCCGCTTGAGCCACAGCGCCACTTCCGGCTTTTTTCTTTTTGCTTATGTGGTGCTGAGGAATCGAACCCAGGGCCTCATGCATGCAAGGCAAGTGCTCTACCACGGAGCCACCTTCCCAGCCCCCCGTGTGTACTTTCTGACCCCGCAGGGCTGTCTCTTGTTCCTGCTCTGTCCTGCCCCCCCCCAACCTCCATTGAAAGCCAGGAGCAGCTGGGCCACAGCGGGGGGGGGGGGGGCGGGGAGGGGGAAGAGGGGGAGACAGGGGCTTCGAGGGGAGTCCTGTGAATGGAACCCGATCAGCTGGTCACTTGTTTTCAGACCGCCATCCCGGAAGGGGGGCTGGGCAGCGCATCTGGTCACCAGGCGTACCCACGGGGTACCCAGGGGGCAGGGCTGCCCAGCCCCCTCTCTGACCCTAGCCTGGGGTGGGGGGACAAGAAGATCCCCCCCCCAAGTTGGAGACTATCTTCTATAGCCAAAGGCTGACTGTGTGCTTGGAGGCAGAGAAGGATGGAGAAGAGTGGAGAAGGATCTAGAAGGATGGAGAAGGATCCAGAAAGATGGAGGAGGGTAGAGAAGGATCTAGAAGGACGGGGACGGTGGGGGAGGGTGGTCTTTCCTCAGACTCGGTCCTGGGGTGCAGCTCCTGCAGTTTAGTTGGGCTCACCTCTTCCCCCGCCCCCCCCCCAAGTTCCCATCTAGAACTCTGGCCTGAGGGAGGGGTGGGTACCACCCTTGAACGTCTTTCTGGATCATTCTCCCACCCCTCCGTATCATTCCACAGCCTTCCCCAGCGTCTGCCGGTCCAGAGCTTTCCAGAGCTGTCCAGGGAGGCGCAGGGGCTTGGGCGGCTGCCCCTCTCCTGGGTTTGGAGAATTCTGGAAGTCTGGTTGGTTGGAGGAGGCCGGTGTGTGTGTGTGTGTGTGTGAAGCGAGTGTGTGGCTTGTCTTCACCCCGGTGTGTCCTGTCACTAAGAACCCGGCCCTCTGGTTCAGTAGGATTTGGGATGCTACACCGGCTCTTTGGAGAACCCCCCCTCACCCCGCAGAGGGGGTGTCTGCCCGCCAAAGCCACGGCGAGTCCCAGGCAGCTTCCCGCCCCCCAAGAATGGTGGAGAGAATGCCCCCCCCCCCCCACTCTACGCCTCAGACTTAGAACCAACCTGCTACCCTTCAGGGCTGGGGTCGCAGTGGGGTGTCATGATGCTCTGCCTCCAAAAAGGGGGTTCAATAGGAGCGGGGATACCTGCAGGCCCCCCTCACCCCACATCCAACCTGCAGCATCAAATCACACACCTCCAGGGAGCGCATTGCTGAGCTGGAGGGCCGCCATCTTGGATCTGTGCCATGGATTGCCATAAATGACCCGGCCACCGACACATTAGCACGAAAGGTGGTAAGGCAGGGGTTCCCCCTGCCCAGTGTACCCCCATTATAAGGGGGCTCCCAGCACCAGTCCTGGTCTGCCTCAAACCGGTGTTGCTCCAGGATCATCTGAACTGCTTCCTCTTTTTTGTTGTTTTTTGGCAGTCATGGGGCTTGAACTCTGGGCCTGGGCGGTGTCCCTCAGCTCTTCAGCTCAAGGCGGTGCTCTACCACTTGAGTCACAGCGCCACTTCTGGTTTTCTGGTGGTTTATGGGAGATCAGAGTCTCAGGGACTTTCGTGCCCGGCCTGGCTTTGAACCGCGATCCTCAGATCTCAGCCTCTGAGTCGCTGGGATGACAGGCAAACTTAAACCTCCTTCTTCCTTCCTTTTTCTGCAGTGCTGAGGATTAGAACCGGGGTCCTTTTGCATGCTAGGCAAGCACTCTACCACTGAGCTACACCACCAGCCTGCTGTGCTTCAGTAAATTAAAAAAAAATCTCACTTCACCACCATAGGGATCTTACATATATCTCATAGATAATACATACATATATGTGTATACATTTGTACATACATATATGTGTGTATATGTGTACACAGACAGACAGACAGACAGACAGATAGACAGACAGACAGACAGACAGACAGACAGACAGACAGACAGACAGACAGACAGACAGACAGATAGATAGATAGATAGAGTGCTAGTCCTGGGGCTTGAACTCAGGGCCTGGATGCTGTCCCTGAGCTTTTTGCTCAAGGCTAGAGCTGTAACCATGCTCCCTTTCCAGGTTTTTCCAGTGGCTCACTGGAGTTAAGAATCTCAGGGACTTTCCCGCCCAGGCTGGCTTTGAACCTTGAAGCGTGGCCAGGAGCAAACCCACCCGAGACGCTGAACTCACCGTGGTGTATAACCTGCCTTTGCTGTTCATGGCGACAAACAGGGCGCTTTTTCACCCCAAACAGGCTCACCACGCCTCGCTCCACGGTGGAAATTTCCAGAAGGCCTGGCAAGGAAACGGGGCAGGGGCGGGGGGTGGGGGAGAGAACCACATTACCTGAGGCTCGTGTGCAGGTCCTTGTGGGGCTCCCCAAGTTCGGGATGTCCATCCCCCACTTTGCTAGACCTGACCCGCCCAGCCACGCCAGCTCTCCAAGGTACTGAGGCCAGCCCAGATCTGAGCTTCTGCCCAAATGAACACTTGGAAGTCTTCCTCCTCCTCCTTCTCCTCCTCCTCCTCCTCCTTTTTCTTCCACCTCCTCTCCTCCTCTTCTCCCTCCTCTTCCTCCTCTTCTCCTCCTCCTCCTCCTCTTCTCCTCCCCCTCCTCCCCCTCCTCCCCTTCCTCCCCCTCCTCCTCTTCCTCTTCTTCCTCTTCTTCTTCTTCTTCTTCTTCTTCTTCTTCTTCTTCTTCTTCTTCTTCTTCTTCTCCTCCTCCTCTCCTCCTCCTCCTCCTCCTCCTCCTCCTCCTCCTCCTCCTCCTCCTCCTCCCTCCTCCTCCTCTTCTCCTCCTCTTCTCCTCTTCCTCCCCCCTCCTCCTCTTCTCCTCCTCCTCCTTTTCTTCCACCTCCTCTTCCATCTCCCCTCCCCTCCCCCCCTCCTCTTCCTCCTCTTCTCCTCCTCCTCTTCCTCTTCTCCTCCTCTTCTCCTCTTCCTCCTCCTCCTCCTCTCCCCCTCCTCCTCCTTTTCTTCCACCTCCTCTCCCGTCTCCCCCTCCTCCTCCCTCCTCCTCCTCCTCCTCCTCCCCCTCTTCTCCCTCCTCCTCCTCCTCCTCCTCCTCCTCCTCTTCCTCCTCCTCCTCCTCATTATTATGATTATTTTGTGCCGGTTCTGGGGGGCTTGAACTCAGGTCCTGGGGTGCTGTCTATCCCTGACCTTTTTGTTTTGGTTCCAGGCTAGCGCTCTACCCACTTGAGCCACGGCAACACTTCTAGCTTTTTGCTGGTTCACCGGAGGTAAAAGAGTCTCACGGGCTTTGCTGCCCAGGCTGGCTTTGAACCGAGATCCTCAGATCTCAGCCTCCTGAGTAGCTGGGATGACAGGGCGGGAGCCACCGGGCACCCAGTGATTACTATTACCATTATTAATATTATTTATTAATGATACAAGTGCATGCCCCATCGGTTTCAACCAACCTCCAATCATGCAATGCACAAACCCCACGTTCAGAGGGAGGGAGATGGCCGGCCCATCCTGTCTGGGCTGGGGTTGGACCCCTGCCTGCCACCTGCCATCCAGGACCCCCGGTGTGTGTGTGGGGTGGGGGTGGGCAGGAGGAAGGGAGAGATGGAGGAGAATCTGAGAAACCAGCATGCACAGATACAGCTCGTGTCTAATTTGATCCGAGTCTCCTCACTCTGTCTGGCCATGGGGGGGCCATCCTCCCAGCTCCCAGGAGGCTGAGATCTGAGGATCGCGGTTCAAAGCCAGCCTGGGCAGGAAAGCCCGTGAGACTCTGATCTCCAAGGAAACCGGAAGTGGTGCTGTGGCTCAAGGGGTAGAGCGCCCGCCGTGAGCTGAAGAGCTGAGGGACGGCGCCCAGGCCCCGAGTTCCAGCCCCCCATAACCGACCAATAAGTAAATCACCCGAAAGAGCCTGCACTAAAGCGGGGGACGGAGCTAATGGTGCACGTGGCGGTGGAGAAGATGCATCTCTCCACTTGGAGCAAGAGGGGTCTCTGCTCTTTCCCAGCCGGGACCCTGTGGAAACCCGCGCAGCACCCCCCGGCCTGCCACTCACTGTAGGGGTTCTCCTGGTGGGTGCCGCTGATCCGGCCGTCGGGGGCGATCTGGAGATGGAAGCCGATGCCCACGTTGCAGTACAGTCTCCGCTGTCTCTTGATCCCCCACAAAGTAGCCGCTTTCCCAAGGCACCGGGCGATCGCTGCAGCCAGGCCGGCTCGAGACCTGGACAGCAGGCTGCCCCAGGCCCTGGAGTCCAGCAGGGTGCTGTTGGCCCGGGTGCCAGCTGCCCGGCCTAGGAAGACGGCAGGAAGAGAGCGCCCGCAGCGCGCCCTGGACGCTTCCTCCTCCTCTCCAGGACATGCCGGTGTCCGGCAGCCTCGGGGTTAGCCACCCTTGCCGGTCAGACACGTGGTCAGAATTAATGACCCTAAAAATACCGCCCTTCTTGTTTTCCTCCCCTCGGCACGGCGGCGGTAGGGGCTTATTTTTGGAAGGCAGATGAGTATGGCCGACGTGAAATCAAAGCTTGCTTTGGGCTCTTAGACATAACTAGCAGAGAGACCCGGCCTGAGCCATGGCTGGTAGGGGCCATGATTTGGGGGGGGGGGGCAGGGAGGGAGGGTACACGGGGTGGAGGACACTCTGGATTCACCCCGCTACTTCAGCTGGTCCCCTCTTCCCGGAGGTGACCCCCCCTCCCTTTCCCATTTCACCTGTCTTTAGAGTTTAACAGCCATCGCCCACCCCGATATCAGGCCTGGCCCAGCTCACGTACCCCAGGGCCTGTAATATTAACCCGCTGTCTCCCATCCCTCCCCACCCCACCCCCTCCAGCACCCTCCCGCTCACCCCCCCCCCGCCCCGCCCCGGCCAGGGATTCTGGGAGTCGCTGCCATTCCAACCATGAGACAGGGATGAGCTGTGGTCCCCTCGAGGTGGGGGGGTAGGGAGAAGATCTCAAATCGGACAAGCAGTGTTGGGGTTCGGGTGGAGCTGGCTTCCTTCTGGAGAGGCACTGGGGGACGTGGGATGGAGGAAAGCGGGGGTGGCAGGTATCGAGGGGGGGCTTCCCTCCTCTTCCAACATCAAGGCCCGAGCGTGCCCTCTGTTCTAAAGCTCAGGTGGGTGTGCGAAGCCGGCTCTCCAGGCTGATGCATTGTCTGTCTCGCTGGGTTCACTGCGACAGTATTCCAGAGAAGCTGTTGTTGGGGGGGCCGGGGGCTTGAACTCAGGCCCCAGGCGCTGTCCCTGAGCTCTTCTGCTCAAGGCGGGCGCTCTACCACTCAAGCCACGGCGCCACTTCTGGTTTTCTGGTGGTTCATGGGAGATCAGAGTCTCACATCCTGCTGGGGCTGGCTTTGAACCGCGATCCTCAGATCTCAGCCTCCCGAGGAGACAGGATGACGGGTGTGAGCCCACCGGTGCCTGGCTAAATTGCATATTTTTACCTGAAGTCTAAAAATCCTTTTTTGCTTGTTTGTTTTAAAAGCTACATTAAACACACACACACACACACACACACACCTAAATCTGCAAATATAATCAGACACCCCTTCTGAGAGGGATGCAGGTGA